AGATCTTCATGCACCCCGACGACCGAGCAAAGACGACATTCGTCACGAACGCCGGGGTGTACAATTACAGAATGATGCCCTTCGGATTGAAAAATGCGGGGGCAACATATCAAAGGCTGGTGGACCAAGTTTTCGCCGAGCAAAAGGGCCGAAACATGGAAGTCTACGTTGACGATTCAATCGTCAAAAGCAAAAAAGATGAAGACCATGTTAGGGACCTAGCGGAAACTTTCACCACTCTAAGAAAGCACCATATGAAGCTGAATCCGAAGAAGTGTGTCTTCGGCGTGAAGTCAGGGAAATTCCTTGGGTTCATGGTCAGCAAAAGAGGGATTGACGCCAATCCTGCTAAGGTGCAGGCAGCGCTCGATCTTCCCGAGCCGAAAACAAAAAGGGATGTTCAGCGGCTCACCGGAAGAATGGCAGCCCTCTCAAGGTTCATCTCCAGGGCCTCGGATAAGGGGTTACCTTTCTTCAAAGCCCTGAAACTCCCAAAAACAAAAGAGCTCGTCTGAGAGGACGAGTAGAGAGAAGCCTCAAGCAGCTTCGGGAGCATCTAGCTCAACTTCCAACACTGACTAGCCCAGTAGAGGGAGAGTCCCTTTACTTGTACGTGGTTGTCAGCCCAGCCACCATCAGTGCAGTGCTGCTGAGGGAAGAAAATAAAACACAACAACCGATCTACTTCGTCAGCCACACTCTGACGGACGCCGAGACTCGCTACCCCTTACTCGAAAAAGTTGCTTATGTAGTGGTGGGAGCCGCTCGGAAGTTGAGACCCTATTTTGATTGTCATCAGATAGTGGTCTTGACTGATCAGCCACTGGAAAAAGTTCTCGGTAAAGTTGAAAAATCTAGTAGGCTGGCCATATGGGCTTTCGAGCTCACAGAGTTCAGCATCAGCTACCAGCCTAGAGCAGATATAAAGGCTCAAGCTCTGGCGGACTTCCTAGCCGAATGCTCGTACCAGGAGACGCTAGACGATGAGAAGAAAACCTGGACCGTTTTCACGGATGGATCCTCCACCGTGAATGGTTCGGGGGTAGGGGTGGTTATAACCTCTCCTGAAGGCAAGTCCTTCGAGTATGCACTAAAATTTTACTTTAAAGCTTCGAACAACAAAGCCGAATATGAGGCGGCCATTGCCGGCCTAGAATTGTGCATCTCGCTGGAAGCCGAACATGTTTGTCTGAAAACAGACTCTTAGCTAGTTGCATATCAGATTGGTGGCAGTTACGAGGCCAAAGAGCCCTCGATGATATCATACCTTGCCAAGATCAAATCAGTTATTGCTAAGCTGAGAACTTTTGAGGTTCAGCTGATCCCAAGGGGTCAGAATGCACAAGCCGATGCACTTTCCAAACTTGCTAGTTCAAATCTCACTGAGCTGAACAGATCAGTTTATGTGGAGGTGCGCCGAGAAAGAAGTGTCGACGAAGTATCTGAAGTGTGCTGCGTTGACCAAGAACCAAGCTGGACGGATCCCATCCTAGCTTTCAAGCTTCGGGGAGAAATTCCCGAAGACAAAATTTTGGCCTCCAAGTTGAAGCGAACCGGTTCAAGGTTCATTGTCTTCAAGGGAGAACTCCTAAAGAAATCCTTCTCAGCCCCGTTGCTGAAGTGCGTGGGGCCAACAGATGCAGATTACATCTTTCGGGATATCCACCTCGGCATCTGTGGGAACCACATTGGGGGAAGGACCCTAGCCCATAAAGCATTAAGGACAGGGTACTACTGGCCCACCATGATCTCAGACGCCAAGGAGCTGGTCAGAAAATGCGAAAAATGTCAAAAATTCGCACCAGTCATCCATCAGCCAACCCAGGAGCTTCAGCCCGTGCTGGGTCCGCTTCCATTTGCCCAATGGGGGTTGGATATCCTGGGCTCATTTCCGGATGCCGCATACCTGATAGTCGGTGTCGATTATTTCAGTAAATGGATTGAGGCCGAAGCAGCCTCAAACATTACGGAGCAAACTGTTAGGAAATTTATCTGGCAGAATATAATCACTCGATTCGTCATCCCGAAAGTGTTTGTCTTTGATCATGGAAGGCAATTTGATAATCTGCCGCTGAAGCGGTATACAGATCAGTTCGACATCAAACTGGCATATTCAGCGGTATGCCACCCGCAAAGTAACGGACAAGCCGAAGCTGCAAATAAACATATTCTGAATGCCCTCAAAAAGAGGGTAAAGGATCAAAAGTCCAAGTAGCTGGAGGAGCTCCCAGGAACTCTCTGGTCCCTTCGGACAACCGAAAAAGAAGCAACGGGCCATTCACCCTTCGAATTGGTGTATGGCGCTAAAGCTGTTCTCCCAGTGGAAATTGGCACTGAAAGCCTGTGAGTGCACCACTTCTCGGTCGAGAATGAACAACTTATGAAGGAATCTCTCGATTTCCTCGACGAAGTAAGAGACTCGGCCCGAGTCAGAATGGCCGCATACAAGCAGAGAATCAGCAAATTTTACAACCGAAGAGTTCAGGCAAGGCCTCTCAAAATTGGATACCTTGTCCTTCGGAACGCTGCTGCAGTACAGAAAGGTCGAATTCATGGGAAACTCTCAGCTGCTTGGGAGGGACCCTATGAAATCTATGATGAGCTTCAGCCGGGAACATATCGACTTCGGAAGTTGGATGGAACTGAGCTGAAAAATCACTGGAATGCTGATGTACTTAAAAAATATCATGTGTAAACCCTTCGGGGCAGAACAATCTTTGTAAGTACATTTTGAATTATTAATGAAAGGCCTCTGAGCCACTATTTTTTGCAAACAATTGCAACCTTTACTCTTTTATTCTTTCTTTATTCTATCTACTCTTTAAGGGTTTCCTTCGGCCCTGTCCGAAACTTTCGCCTTAAGAGCATCAGGTTTCGGATTGCCGATAAACTCGCCTTTTCAAAGAACACTAGTCTTTCAGCTGGGGTGAAAACCTCAGTAAGGCTTGTTCTATAAGGCATCGAGTCCATGGACAAATATGGGATATTGCCTAAACTGAGCCTTGTATCCCAGATAGCCATTATTTAAAACACTGCCTTCAGCTGGCCCTGTGTTTGAAATATCCATTTTTTCAGATAGACAGAAAATCAAGAGCAAAAATATAAACTGATAGAAAATAGACAAAGAAAATGAAAATGACCTCAGAAATCTGAAGAACAAGTCTTCAAATCTCTGGGGGGGCAAGAAGCACAACAAGTGCAGACTGCCTCAGCTGAGACCTCTAAGCCGAAGCTTTATACTTAGCAAAAAAAAAAAAAAAAAAAATGAACTCTCGTTCAAAGCAATCCAAATATTCAAGCATGCAAGTTCAAAGCAAGGCAATATGAGGGAAATATCAAATTCATAAATAGGAAATCATGCTCGGATTACGAGCTACAAAACATAAGTGTTTTAAGTAAAGAGAAATAAAATATCGGCAGCCGCCCACAAGCGGAAAATAACAACTGCCGAAATGCGTACAAGGCAAAAAGTAAATAGTTTGTACACCGAGGCAAGCTGAAGCAAAAACAAAGGCAAAAAACATTCAGAAGTGGCATCTATCATTTTAAGAGCACGTTGATCGCAAGATTCTGAAGACGACTGCCCGAGTCCCTAGGCTTCAACTGAGGGGCCAGGCCTCCAAGCAAGGTTGGAGTTTAGCGCGGCATCAGCCCCAGCTGCAGAAGAGGCGGGTTGAACTGGAGCTTGGACTTCAGCCTCCTTCATCTCAACCTCCTCGGCCGCAACATCCCGGGCTTGGAGACGGGCCAGCAGATCAACCTCAGCCTGACTAGCTTGATGCATATGAGGATCCTTGGGGTGTTCAGCCCAGATCTCGCATTAATACCAGTCCAGATCAGGCGCACCATGGAGAGCCAGTCTCCGAGCCACCCCATAGCCGTTGAGGTAGGCAGTGGAGTACTCAACCTGGGTATAAACCCTAAGGGCTAGCTGAGCCTCAGCATCGGCCAGCTTCTTCTGTACCTTGTCCAAGGCATTCTGGGAGGACTCCCGCTGTTCCTTCAACTGATCCTCGGCATCAGCAAGTCGCTGCTCAGTCTGCTCAGCCTTGTCCCAGGCTTGAGAAAGTTGTTCCTCCTGGTTCTTCAGCTGAACCTCCAAGCTGGTGATGCTTTGCTGCTGAGACTCTAGCTGGACCCTGGCCTCGACCAGCTCGTTCTCCCTCCTTTCGCAGGCTTAGCGGTGTTGATTGGCATCAGCCTCCAAGATCTTGATCTTCTGCCGAGATATTTCTTCTCGGGCCAGCACTTGGGATTGAACCTCAGTGTCGATTTTGCGCTGGATCTTGGCTTTGAGGCTGGGGACGTCAACTGCGCCGAAAGCTTTGAGCAGGGCCTCGCCCTCGTCTATTTGAGGCAAGACATCTTTCTCCATTTCAGCACAGAAAGTGTTGAAGGAGTCGATCACGACCCTGACCCTATCCTCGGCTTTCTCATGCTTCAGCTGGGCAAGCTTTGCCTCTGTCTCAGCGATGTCTTCCCTCTCCTGGAGTGTGTCAATCATCTCACAGGTCATGGTATGGTTGTAGACAACCTGCAGAGCCGGGATTAAATTTAATTTAAATAAAATTACAAGTGAATGGAGTAAACTGAAAATGCTGAAGGTGCAGAATTTTATTGCATACCTGCATCAGCAGCCTTTGGTTGTCTCTGGTAGGATCTGGTACTGAGGGACCAGGTTCGGAAATTCCAGCGGTTGGCCGAATAGACCATTCTCGGACTTGCTCCATTTCAGATAATTCGGAGCAACCGCCAAAATAAGCCTCGGCGCTTTCCTTGTACTTCCCCTAGATTTCGGCCCTAACACCAGCTGGGATAGAGCACTTCTTCGCCGAGAACCCCATGTCCCCGGACTGGAAAGACTTGAAAGAGGGGAACGAAGTTGATGGAACTTCGTCTGCTTTCTCGGGCTCAGTTGTTGCCCCTCCTTCAGCATGGTACTCTCCAGTATGGACCCCTTCAGCTTCCCCGAGAGGTTGAATTGTCAAGGCGTCAACCTCTCAATGGATCTCAGCAGTGAAGCCCCTAGGGGCCTCGTCTTCAGCAGTGACCGCCTCTTCGGCCACTGTAATAAATTCATCCTCGGGGAGCTCAATAGCACTCCCCTTGTTGGAAACCGCTTCGGGGACCCCCTCCTTTGGATCAGGAGTTTGCTGGTCCACCTCCATATCATCAGCAGGAGGAGGTGGTGGAGGGGTCCTCGGCGGTGATTGGATCGGCGGTGGTGGCTGAGTCGGGGGCGGAGGACCCCCTGTACCTCTTGGAACCTTGCCTCGGCCAGCAGCAGGTTCCCTTATTACAACGCCAGGCATCAGCCTCAGCGTGAAGTCTCCCGGACCCATAACAGCTGGGCCCGTCCTCCTTCTCTTCCTCTGCTCCAAAGGCTGGTCGTCCATATCGTCAGAATCCGAAGATTCGAGTTATGAGAGGTCATCTGACGATTGTGGAGCCTTCCCTTCTCTCCTTCTGCCCTCTTCCTTAGACTGCAGAAGTGGGGGAGCAAGGAGGGATCAGTAAAAAAAAAAAGAAAAAAGAAGAAGAAAGAAAAAGCAAATTGTTTAAGTCCTTACCAAAGTCCTCGGCTAAGCCTCGGCAGCACCAGAAGTCCCTTCACCCCTTTCCAGGGAGTTGATGGCTCTGGTCACCTCCGCAGCAGCTTGAGCGGCGCGCACTTCTTCGGGTAGCAGGGGCCTCAAAGGATCCTGCTTCTCCCACCAAGGCTTCTGCTTCAGATAATCTGCAGCAGCCTCGATCTGAAGCCCGTTGAGTATAAGTGTAGCGGACGGTCCTTCGGAGCAGTGATCGCCGGAGCTCGGTCTAAGATGACCCTTTCAGCGTTTACTCCTAGTCGATCGTAGTTGATTTCGGAGATGGCCTCGCTCAACTCTAAAAGGAGAAGGTGGAGGTTAGCCTTAAGGAACAGAAAAAATGAAGCAATAACAAAATAAAGTCCTCGGCCCCAGCCGAAGGTACTTACCGCCTCTATGCTTTCGGCTGAGGCCGACAACCGCCAACATCTTCTCTTGGAAGACGTAATGGTTATCTGGAAGCCATCTGGTCGGGATGAACTTCATTCGGACAATCCCCCCAGGATTTTTCTGCTTCCCGAAGAAGCTCATCTGCTCATAGCTGGGGTGACGAGCGGCGTCAGGGTCTTCGGGGCCCAAATCCTGCATGTTCGGATCCGGCCTGGAGAGATAGCGGGGAGCCCCGGAAAAATAGGGGTGCTCCGGATCAGCGGGAGCCCTTACCCAGATCCACTGGCCTCTCCAATCCTTATCCGAAGAATCGTTCGGCCACATAGTCAAATATTGTGGATGGCTCTCGATTCACCACCAGCCAGACCCATGGTGATCGTATACGCTCTGGGTATTCTGCACCAGCTGGTGCATCCTTCGGAAACAGTGCAAGTTCGGCTCAACGACAAAGAACCGACATACCCAGAGATAGGTCATCACCCGCCGAATACTGACAGGCGTCAACTGGCACAGGGAGATCCTGTACTTGATTAGAATGTCCCTGACGAAGGGATCTAGAGGGAACCGAAGCCCATACTGCATCTGCTGAGTATATACCCCTATGTACCCAGGAGGGGGACGATGAATTCTGTCAGTCGGCGAAGGCAATCGGCACCAATACCTATCTTCCTCAAAGATGCCATAGTGCAACTCAATCTGTTCGGCAAACCGATAAGCTTTGGCGTGCCTAACCCACCAATAATAAGGGGTATTGTCCCTCATGGCTCTCTGGGCTTCGGCATTCTACCATTTAGTGTGCCCAGGTAGCAAATCCCAAAGCACATGAGTCATATCTTCCTCCTGTTCAGCGCCATCAGCCTCGGCACCTTGCTGAGGGGCAACAGCGTTCAAAGGGACGGCCGGAATCCCCCTTTTCTGGGTCTTCCTCGACGCGTTCCCTGTTCCAAACATCGGCACGATCTCTGGGAACCCTGTCCTGACCCCGTCTTCCGGTTCGGCGACCTCTTAAGCGAGTCATTGATGAATTCGCAAGAAAGGAAGTCGAGGGAAGAGGAGTTCTTTCGAAAAACTAAGAAAATCAAGGGAAATTTGAAGAAAATTACCTTTATGAGAATCGAAACTCGCCGATTCAGTTAGTCGGAGCAACGAGTTTTAGCGTCAAGCTTTTATTTCGGGTGTGGAGTAAAGTTTCGAAGCGGAAGCAATGGCTTTTAGAGAATTCGAGAGTGAATTGGTGAAGAAATGAGGAGAGAAGAGCGAATTTGGCTTATATTTCCAGAAAATGGGAATGTCGAGAGTCAGAGTGCTTAGATTCTCTTAAATGCCTCCTTAAGTAACCGTTAAACACTCTATCTCTTAATTAACCGCCCATTATCCACTCCACTTCCCACTAATTATCCTAATAACAGTTATTTCGTTAATGACTGTTTAAAATTTAAATATTTTGATTTAATTAAATCATTTACTTCCCTCCATTTTTATTGGATTCAAACCCGACCCGTCATCCTTCCAAATCGGGTCTGGGGGGCAAGTTGTTTGGGGTCCAATTAAGCCAATTGGGCCTAGTCATTAAATGATTCAATATTCCAAGGTCAAGGCCCAAGCCTCCATTAAGCCAAGTCATCATAAGGTCAAGCGGCCCAAATTGTCATGGTCAGCCCATGATTAGGTCCGGCGGCCCAGTCATTCTCCTCCCTTTGTCATGCTAAGGTATAAAAGCCTTCAATTTCACCATTTATCATTCATTCACAATTAAAGCCTAAGCATTAACTCTCTTGCATAGCTTTTCTCTCTAAACACTGTTTGACTTCGGCATCGGAGGGGTTTTCCTCGAATCCACCCCCGAGGCCAGTTTACGTGTGTTTGCTGTGAAGGAAATCTTCAGCCCAGCATTACTTGGACCGGACCAGTCTTCATCCACTTCATTGGACCTTCGGCAAGGTCCCATTGTTTTCATCCGAAACACGACGTATATATAATAATAAAAGTCCGGATTTAGCATTATGCTCCGTAATTCCGTATTACACATTGCCATTTTACGTATAAAGAAAGATAAGAAATAAAAATAAAAATGGTTTATGTACGTGTTTAAAAGTGAGGTGTGAGAAATCCTATAGAGCGAGGGAGAATCTATATGTTATCTGAGGCATAGTTTTTGTGTATTTGAGAGGAAATACACTATGGGCTTAGATGTTGGAGATTGTATGAGATTGAGAGAGATAGAATAATCTTGAGTGCCCTCTAGTCTAAGGTTTTTGAATTATTATACTATTAATTAATTATATAATTTGTGAGCGGACTTTGTATTATATATACTCCCCTCGTCCCATAATGACAGTCACTTTTGGATAAATTTTAGTCTCTAAATGTTCACCCCATTTGCCTTATCCAACAACCATTAATATTATTTTTTTATTTTTCGTTTACCAAAATTCCCTCAAATTTGCAATAATATTTGTGCAAATTTAGTTTTTTTATGTAAATTTTGCTTTTTCAAGTAATTTTATTGCTTTATCTCTCTACTTTTTTTTATTATTATTTTTTTTATTACATTTGTACCCTGTATAAATTTACCAATTCAATGTATTTTTATTACTTCTAATTTATGTTTATTAATTTCAGTGAAAATTTTACTCATAAAGGTAATCATTGATGGAGGGAGGGAGTAGTGTCTTAACAAATATTACTCATAAGACCTTGCTCTTTTCACTTAATAATAAAAATACAATATAAATGATTACTAGTCTTCAAATAACAAACATAATAGAAAATCAATTAAGTATTCTACTTCATCCCTTCTTTTTTTCATTGCATAATGAGAGATTTCATGTTTGACAATGCATAACTTAAGCTATTAATATCTTCAATTATACTTTTGTAAAAATTATAAAAATTTGATATTTAAAAAGTAAATTTCGAGACAAATCTAACCAGATATCACATGACTATGGTTTTCCCTAGATAAATCACAAATGATGGTAAAAAAAAGATTATATGACTAGTGTAAAAGTTCTTATTGTGCAATAAAATAAAAACGGAGGAAGTACTAAGTTTTACTCCCGCGGTTTTTAAATACTTGCTCTATTTTCTTATTTGAAAAACTTTTAAAATATTTAATTCATTTCTCTCATCTAGTGAGCCCAACAAAAATAATACTCCGTATTTTAATAATTTCTTATTCTCTCTCCTTTAATCTCTCCATTACTTTTGTTTTATATTTTTTTTACAATTTTTTTATTCTTCCACCTAGTCCACTATATCTAGTTTATTACTTTTTCCGATTTCTCATAAAACTTCGCACATGAAAAAATAGAGCAAGTATTTAAAAACGAAGAGATTAATTAGTAAAAATTATTTCAATTTAGCAAATTTTAAAATGAAGTAAACATGTCCTAACTTTACTTATGGCATGTACCCCCAAGCTTGGGTTAGAAGCTTCTCAGCTCCTTTTCCGTAGTCCTGACAACAAGGCACCACACTGTTAGAGAATAGCGATAGGATAGCTAGGGATTAGGTTTCGGACATATTGTGTCATTACCAAAGTAATTTAACTTGGGACATAAAGTTTGATAATCACTTTTGTCCCTTTATTTTTGCTCCATTGTTATTTTTTGGGTCAAATTTTGTAAATTTTGATAGTAAATTACCGTTAATCTATAGAAGATAATATAATCATGAACGATCTTGTTAGATTCGGCTCATTACATAATTTATTAAATCCAATTTTTATAATTTTTTCATGCATAGAAATGAAGATATGTGTGTTATAATGCATCTTGGAGACGGAAGTGAAGACCGTAAAAAGTCAAATAGAGAAAAAAAAAATAACAACAATGAAAGTAAGCTTTAATTTGAAAAAAGGCATTTGTTCAATTAAAACCCAAATGTCCCTTGGACATATAGCTTACTAAAGTACCCCATTATTACTCATTTGATCAATCAGGTCATCTTATGGGGTTTGATCAAACCTAGTTGACAAGGTTGCTTCTTTAGCAAGTTATTAGATCTCATGTCTGTACAACCTACTTTGTTTAGAAAGTAAACGTATAACAAAGAAATTACTTGTACATCATACAAGTACTTAAGGAAAGTTGTACCTCCGTAAACACTTGATTAAATGAAGAGTTGAGTAATGTTATTTAACATCTTAAATCATATGATAGTATATTACTTGCATTGAATCATTGATGCATGATATTGTATACATATATACAATGAACTCGTGTATATATAAATATCTTTTGTCAAAGAAATAAGAATTCTCACGTTTACAAAGAAACTAAAGTTAAAGTTTCCAAAACACGAAGCTATTATATGCTGCGGATTGGTTAACAATCATGGAGCTATTCAAGACAACAAAATTACTAATTTTCATGATTCTCTATTAGATTTAAAATATACTACTCGTATGATATTTTAGCTAATGATTTGAAGGTGTAGCTTTACCACAATTAATTCTTAGTTTGTCTTATTTATTTTGTTTTGGGCATGGTCCTCCTTTGCACCATACAATAAAAAAGGGTAACTATTACCTAGCTTATAGATAGTACGAGTAATTAATATATTGTAAGTTTAATTAGGGTCTGTTCTCATTGACTGAACATGAGCTGAACTGAACTTACACTACTACAAAAATGGCAAAAGAGACCTATAATAAGAGACCTGTTGGTTAATACAACAGGTCTCTTTGATATAAGAGACCTAATATTAGAGATAACAGGTCTCTAAAATGTCAAAGGACCCACATGAGATTTTGGGACGAAAATAAGAGACCTGTTGGTTTGCTGAACGGGTCTCTTATATATGCGCATAAGGATTAAGGACCCACCACAACTAGCGTACTCTCGCCTTTTCTTTGTTTTTTTTAAGAAAAAAAAATTCCCTTTTTAATTCTTATTCATTTATACAGCTCATTATTAGTCATGTTCATATGAATCTCTTTTCTTGTTCCCCTTTATACGTCTCTTTCTCTTTCACCTCATCACTTGTCTCATCTCATTTCTCATTTTTATTTCTCACGAAGCAATTAACTCCTCCTCATTAACGACGCTGCATCTTCCTTCAACACCGGCGTTGCCTTCTTCTTTTAACTCAAAATTTGAGGCTTTCAACGTCTATTATGACCATAAATACTCCAGATCTAGAGTCTTATGGTCAAATTTGCCTAAATAATTCTACAATTGAATAATCCTTAAAAAGGTATGTTTCCATATCAATTTAATTCTGAAAATTTTTTGGGTTGTTGACAAGGTGTTTCTATGGCAATGGTTTATGGTTTGTTTGTTTCTTTTTTAAAAAATAGGTTGCTATAGTTTAGATTGTTTAGTTTTTGGTTATTTCGTTGGTGGCTAGTGTCTTACGGGATTGGAATTTTTTCACTAGGGGTTGGTTTTTCACGGGGTTGGGTCGGTTTATGACGAGGTTGGGTCGGTTTATTACGAGGTCGGGATGGTTTTCACGGGGGTGAGTGTAGTTTATACGGGGGTTGGGGTGGTTTTCACGGGGGTGTGGGCGGTTTGTTAGAGGTTAAGGCTTAGGGTTGGTTTATAGGGGTTTGTTATTGATGGTATTTTCTTGGGGTTTTTTTTAATGTTAAATTAAGTATATTATTTCCTTTGCAGTTTGCAGTTTAGGTCAATTGATTACTTTAATATTGATGATTTTTCTGGGTTTATTTTGTATAACAGATGATTTAGGTGCCCAAGAGTTGATTTATGTGGTGAAGATTGCATATGGGATAATATATGATTTTATCCCCTTAATTTTGTTATTGATGTTTAAATCGTGTAAGGTTGTGTTTATGTTGTTGATGTCTAGTTTTTAACCTGAATTATAACCCTTGAAGCTTTTTTTTTATTGATTCTCTTAATGGTATACAGGTTTTTAGAGGCCAGATGACCAATTCAAGAAACTTGCTTAGCTGATATATGGAGGGCTAAAGAAATTACCAAAGAGATGGTTGGATTCACTTGCCGTATAAAATTGGTGGGAATGTTGTTAGTTTTGATAACTTATTGTAAATTATTATTTCCATTAGTTATTATTTACTTGTTCCATAAATTCTCTTATACATGTAAATTATTGTTCGTATATACTTGTAAATGTTACTACTAGTAAATTCCATAATTATATAAGTTTATGTAAATTTATCTAATTTTTTGGTTTTGTAATTTTCAATTTTAGTAGAATGATTACAAAATAATAAATATATATCGTCAATTTATAATTTTTTTTTTAAAAAGAAAAATTATAAAGAGACCCGTTACTTGACAAAACAGGTCTCTTTATGGCTATCAAAGAGACCTGTTGTATGAAATAACACGTCTCTTCCCCTTCGTAAATATATGATGTATATACATGCGAAGAGACCTGTTACCTTACATAACAGGTCTCTTATTGATAACAAAGAGACCTGTTCAGTTGAACAGGTTTCTTTAGCAAAGAAACCTGTGAGTTAGAGACCTCCTCTAAACATGTCTCTTATGCTATTTCTAACGGGTCTCTTTGGCCTTTTTTGTAGTAGTGTTATTAGAGCTGAACTGAACTAAACTGAACTTATTAGAGGTGAACTGAACTGAGTTGAGATAAATATTTTACGAGAGAAGGAAATTAGAAGCTGAACTGAACTGAACTGAGCTGAAAATAATCTGATGACAACAGGGCCTTAATCGAAAATAAGGGGAAGTAGTATTTTGTGTATAGGTTTACCACGGGTCAATTTTGTACTGCTAGTATGTAGTATTAATTTAAACTTTTTATTTAGGTGTTGATAGACCTTCAAATTTACTTTTATTATGTAGTACTGCCTCTATGTCTAGCATTAATTTGTATACACTTTACGTTCTATTATTGGTTCCAAATATTTGGTCCTTGAAATAAATGTATCTAAGTCATGGAATTGGATGAGATTGAATTATTTATTACTTGTACAACCAAATAATTAATCCTATGTACGCACTTTTTTCTTCAATTTGTTGAATATTCACCCTTGTACAATTTTTTAAATTATTTTTTAAAAAACTTTTATCACATAATTAATTAATTAGTCATCCTTGTAATCATATCAACACAAATCAATGAGCCAAAAAATAATGCATAAAATATCGTAATATACTCCCTCCGTCCTTTTTGCCCTAATTTTAATCCCAAAATGATCGACCCATTTGCATTAAATTAAAATACCCACCAATTTACAACAATATTTATGCAAAATTAGTTTTCCCATATAAAATTTTGTTTTTTTAATGTATTTTTAATACTTTATATCTCTACTTTTTTACAAACTTCATGTAAATTTATCTTTCCAATGTGTTTTTTATTTCTTTTTATTTAAGTTTCTTAATAACCGTGAAATCAACCCAAAATGGTCGAATTTTTGGGAACGGAGGGAGTATATGTTTAGTTGAATTTTATTTGTGCTTAATATAGTTTTTTTATCGTAACACTTTAATATGATTAGTCAAGAAAAATAATAATGACAATTAATTATATACAAATGTGACTGGTTCATTCTTAAATCTAACTTGAAAATCCTGAATTATTCAACCCAATCATCAAATTTTGTGATCGTACAAAATTACACCTTTTTAATATATTTCAACCACAACTCGAAATTGACCCTTAATAAATCGAAATTAACTAAGAACCCGACTTCAACCCATTCATCGATATTCGGGTTGCCATATATCCAAGTGACTCATAATTCCATCCTATCTAATGTAATCATCTAATCTCTTTTCGTAGTTCCATGGCATTAATTAAAAATAAAATCTCAAATAAAGTTCAAAAATTAGGTCAACTAAAATGCATGCTTTATATGTGGAAAAATCAATCCTTATCGATCTCTATTGAGATCTTTGCATACTTTTAGAGTTTTAGTCATGTTATGGATCGGAGATCGACCATATAGAAAGTGACACATACAAGAAATAAATAGAGAGGTCTGCTTTTCTAAAGGTTCATTTATCAAATCACCGAGCCACAATTATTGCATAGCACGCAATTGTAGTTCATTTGTAGGTTCTTAGTCTCTTAGTCAATTTTATTTATTTATTTATTTTTGATAGTATTAGTCTTTAGTCTTATCTAATTAAGAATTGTTCAAAAAGGTTCATACTACTTAAACTACCATGTTCTATAAATAATCAATAATTAAGTTCATATACAAGGCGTACAACCTAATAAAGTAATTAAACTAATTTCATGTTCTTAATAACTATTGGTAATTTCTATGTATACATATATTGCTTGCATTTGTTATACATTTTGATGTACTCCGCGTATTAATCAAATGAGTCCATAAAATTATAAATATATTATTATTGTTGCGCGTTTTAAAATCTTATATAGATACGTTATTGAAACTCAAAAGATAGAGAGAGAAGGCATAAATGAAGGGAAGTAGAAGGTGGGTTGGGAGCATTTAACAGAAACCGGTGAAGAGAGTGACGAATTGAAGGGATGTAGAGAGAGAAAAATAAAGAATAGAAGTAGAAGTAATAAGAGTAGTACACGAACAAGAGTACTTATTTTTTTGTTGTTGTAGTAAGCGAGGCGTTTCAATGCTCGTGCCTTAAATTCAGCATTTAAGTGAATTCAAGATGATCAGGATTTAATGAAGAAGGCAGGTAGATACACTCACCTTCATCCCCTTTCTTTTTCTCTCACCAAACATGCCTTTATTATACATTTTTTTTTTCTTTTTTACACGTAATTTTCTAAGAAATATAATTTTTGCCAGGTACAAACACGAGGATTGCATATAAGAAGTCAAAAGTATAAGAAAAAAATACGATTAAGCCCTGTTCTTTTGAATTTCTGGGAACAGCAGAGCAGAGTTGAACAGGTTTCAGCAGAACAACTTTAAAGAACGGGATCATATATTATGTCTATGTTTTAGGCTTGCATAAATTATTACCCTTTTATGATATGAATGAATTTATTTATTACCTCTGTTACTTTTTAGATGCAACGCTGGATAATTTTTTATGAGATATAAAAAATTCTTTTATTGCAAACTAAAAAGTAACGGAGGTAGTATACTTATTTTTCAATAGTAGTAGTACTCCTGAAGTTTTTTCCCCAATTTCCCAACTTTATTCTAATTTAGTGGGTACTACATTACCATATAAAAGAAGAAAATCACCTCCAATTCTCTTGAATTAATTTGTCACATATAAGTATATCTGAGTACTGTCAACCAACATTGCATGGGCTGGTAGTTAGGCAATTAATTTGGCCCCTATATAAAGTAGGGTTTATTATTTGGTATAATCCCCTACACTACAATTACATGCATTGCATGGAGGGTCCCTTTTGCTTTTATTATTTTTGCATGGCTTGTGAACATTACTCTTCTCATTTTTAATAATAAGTCTTCCTTTTCAAGTTGCCCACCTTAATTAGGAAATCATACATTGAATACTTTATACTTGATCGATCTTTCATTTAGGATCAATTGTCATATTGTTTTCTAACTTGTATGTATCTGATACATTATGGTGCAAAGTTTTCTTATTAACTAATTTGATCTACTTATATCTACCCGTGTTTAATAAACAACAATTAATTAGTAGAGTCTAACTCAACAACAAAAAGATATATTTATTGCTGATAATGATATACGGAGTAATATATAAATCAATATCGGATTTCAACCATCAGTTTAAACTTTTGGTTTAGTTAATCATTTAACACAATATCAGCTCCAGTGTACCAATTCTACGCTCAACCATTAGTTTAAGTTTTTGGTTGAATTGGTTCTTTAACATAAAATCAGTGTCGGCGTGACACAAAAGCCACAGTTTTCATGTGAAGGGCGTGATATGGTATATAAACCAATGATACGCTTCAACCATTAGCTTGTTACATACGAATAATCACAGATCATATCAAACTATATTAAAATCTTGTTTTTATTTATTTGAAAAAACTTGTTAGATGATTGACACTTAATTTGGAAATTGTTTATAATACCTAAATTACCCTTATTAAATGTTCAACATTCTCCACGGTTACATAAATAGACATGTGAAGAGCAGTAATTATAACTTATGCTCAACTTTACTTATCATCCTTAGCTAATTTAATTTGTTTCCCTACCATTTCTGTTTATGCTTTCTAGTCAGATTTACACACCATTCTCCTCTGTGCCAGTTATGTCATCCTACAATCATTCAGGAGAATTAGAATAAAATAAAAAATAATCACATTTCATAAGCACTTTTATAATAAGAATCTAGTATAGTGTTAATAATTGTCATAAATATATATTAGAAGAAACTATATATGTAGATGTACGACTTCATGATGTGTGATATCAGAACATGTTAGATTATTATGCCTAGAATTGAATTGAATGAGTATTAAATGCACCTTTTATGTAGTGTGGGGTGTTTTGGTATAATTTTTGTTCATAATGTATGTCCAAAAGTATACTTAATTGCATGATCAATTGCATACTATTGTGGCGACAATGCATATATTTGGAGTTGGAAGATGTACTAGTCTAAAACTTTAAATAGGTGACTAGATGAATGTTTTGATTCTTCTTATTAGTTCGAGTAGAATTATATATATATGCTGAATTAAACTAAATTGAAGTAGGAAAATGAATTGAGTTGAATTAAAGTGAAGTACAAAAATAAATTAAGGTCTCGTTAAATTCACCTTATTTTTGCTGAATTGAAATTATTTTTGCTGAACTAAAATCATATTTTGGCCGAATTTAAATTATTTTTATTGAATTGAAATTATTTTTTTTTTTTTGATTTTATAATATACTTCTTTAAGTTTACTGATTTTTAATGAATTGAAATTATTTTTTGCTGAACTGAACTTATTTTTACTGAATTGTAATTATTTTATTGAATTATTTTAAGGTGAAGTAAATAGGGCTTTAATTGAATTGAAGTAGAAAAATAAGTTGATCAATTGAAGTGAGTTGAACTAGAAATAATAAGTCCAAAGAATAAGATTGAGACCTAATTAGTAAATTGAATTTTTCACCTTTTATCAGGTACCTTTTATTACAATATTTTTTCATTAGGTAGTTTCTCACTTTCTCATCACAAATTAGAGTTTTATTAGGTAGTTTTTGACAAAAAAATCCTAA